TCTTCTGAGGCATTAACTATTCCTCCCAGTTTGGTATCATCTGTCAATTTGATGAGCATCCCCTCAATTCCTTCATCCAAGTCATTTAGAAAGACGTTGAAAAACAATGGGCCTCTCATTGGGCTGGATGCCAAGTCATCCCAGGATGTGGAACCATGGGAGTTGTGTTTGTGTGTGCGTTATGACCGATGCTAGAAGCTGGAGACTCATTGTATTGCTCTGGGCTGGACCCAGAAGCTGAGTATGGGGCTTCCCTGGAAACATAACGAGGAAACAGGATCTGTTGGGAGTGTTAATGCTGTGAGTCCCTTCACCCCCCACTCAGGTTGTATAGATGTGTAAACATCCTAAAGATACCACCACTACTATTGACCTTCACTCCAAAGAAACTGAGTCCTGGGTAAGTGCTAGAACCTGTCAGTCTCCCTCACTGCTCAGAGGTTGTGGTGCACACAATGGAGTTCTGTCTTCCTTGGTTCATCCAAGTGAGTCAAAAGCCTTTTCAACTAGAAGGTCAACTTAAGACCTCAAGATCCTACTGGATCAGGTCAATGGACCATCGAGTTCAGAATCTTCTTCTCTCAGCGGCTTGTGGGAAACCCACAAGCGTGATCTGAGCACAAGAGAAGCTCTCTCCTCCTGTCGTTTCCAGCAACTGGTATTCAGAAGCATTGATGCCTCCATCTGCATAGCTTGTAGCCATTGATAGTCCTCTTCTCCATGAATGTGGCTAATCCTCTTTTAATGCCATCCAGGTTGGTGGACACCACTGTCTCCTGTGTGAATGAGTTCCATAAGGGATCCTTTTTAGGGTGCGCTCATGAAGCACACCTGCTTCGCTCAACGCTTGCTGCCATAAACTGGAAACGATTCAAATTAGAGCTCCAAAGAAACACCTGCGCTTTGTCACATCACAGCGGAATACACAGCTGCTCAGATGTCTCTGCCGTGTCCCTTGGAAGATTGCACCTCCAAGCTTAGAAGCATCCCAAAGCCCCGAATGAACCCGGCCCTATAAATGTTTCATGGCAGATGCACTTATTTGAGGGAGGGCGGGATAGATTTAAAGCAATAAATAAATAAATAAAATGAGAGGTACGGTGCTTTGAATGGAAGCACGAACGGCTCAGACCTAGCAAAAGGTGAAGTTGCCACATTCGTTCACTTCATTTAGCAACTCCCCTTCCCGTTTTGAGGGAAGCAGCTGCTTCGGGGGAGGGAGCGGGGGAAAAGCTTGCATTAAGGTAAGCATAAAAACAGCAGGTGCACAAACGCTGCCTTGCAAACTGACAGTACTCTCAGACCTGTAATCACAGGCAAGCTTTCGTATTCAGCCAATGCAGCAGGCCAGGAAGGAAAAGGGAAAAAAAGGAGGGGGAAACCATTGAAAGTGCAGGTTTTATTAGGGCCACCTGCTCCTATCCGTTCCTAAATGGAAATTAAAACAATACGGCTTAATTGCATCACACGCCGATCGCACAAACAATGTTGCGGTTTGCCTATCTCGTTGTTAACAACGCAAGGGAAGCCCGAAGTGGCTTGTACTTCGTTAACGTGAATTAGAATCTCCACTTCTTCCCTAATTAGGGCTGTCCCTGGTTGCCCAGCTATCCAGGTCTGTGGTGCTCCAAAATCATGCCTGGTATTTTCTAGCAACTGGAAATGTTCAAAAACAATGATCATCATCATTTTGGCAGTGGAACAGACTCCTACGAGAGGCGGTGGACTGCCCTTCCTTGGAGGTTTTTAAGCGGAATTTAGATGGCCATCTGCCATGGATGCTTTCACTGAGATTGCTGCATGGCAGGGGGTTCGACTAGATGACCCATCGGGTCCCTTCCAAAATTCTATGATTCTATGACCATAACAATCCTCAATAATATTTATATACTGTTTAACATGCAAAATCCCTAAGCCGTTTACATAAAATAGAATATGGTACCGTATTTTTCTGTGTATAACACGCCCCCATGTATAAGTCCCTATTTTGGGGGACTCCAAATTAAGAAAATGGGGGGAAATGCCCAGAGTTGTTGAGCTTTTTTGGGGGCGGGGGGATTGCCGAAAATTTATCATCCACCAGACCTACACTGCCACTCACACATATCACAAATGCCTCCAATCCACTGTCCCCGATCACCTGCCCAATTGCTGCAGTGACAGCCAATCAAGCCCAGTCCTTGACGCAGCCACCAATAACACGCCCAATAGCCATGGATGCTTTCTGGCTCCTGGAAGCAACATATAACACATCCCCCCCAATGAACTACCCATGTATAAGATGAGCCCCAAATGTCTAAACATTTTAATAAAAAAAAACCTCGTCTTATACACAGAAAAATACGACAATTTTATAAAACGTGTTTATACTACATATAAAACCTAAATATGTCAGCAGAAACTGAGTCATTGCAATCCTTGAACTACAAAATGATCCTTGCCATATTTTAGAGGGGAGTCTGGACTAGTGAAGAACTGCTAGCATGTCCGTGGCATCTAGCAGGATTTCCATTCTGTTTTCCTTGGGACCATCCATATGTATTTGTGTGTGTGTGTCCTTTTGGGATGACATTTCCTGCAAGGGAGCTGGCTAAACCCTGAGAGGAAGCAACCGATGCAGCTGAGACACACGAAGATGAGGAGAGGAGGCAAGTGTGAGGGATCCAGTTAGTCAGAAGAAGAAGTCTTGCTTCTCTGAGCATCCATGGGGTGGGAGCATGTTCAGGAATCAGCCCAGGGAGAACGATACTCACAGGTCTCAACACACAGAGGACCAAAAGGTGCTCAGTTATAGAGAAGATGCTTTCTAACATTAGCTCTTATGCTGTAATGGAAATGCAGAGACCTTTGTATTTTGAGGAGTTTGTAGTGCACAGCAATGGCTCCACTTGTGCCTAGACCAGGGGTCAGCAAACTGTTTCCGCAGGGGGGCGGTCCACTGTCCCTCAGACCTTGTGGGGGGCCGGATTATATTTTGAAGGGAAAAAATCCCCCCCATGAGTTTCCCCTCCCTTCTCCACTGCACTGGACGAGCCCCTGCTTACCTGAGCCTTGCGAGTGCCAGGGGCTTGTGGCAGTGGCGGGGGGATGATGAGCAGCACGAAAGGGCTGGCTCTGGAGATGGGCTGATGGGCACTCAGCCAACTGTGGTTCAACAAAACCCAGCTCCCTTCCTCCTCTAGGCAGGGCGGGGAGAAGCCAGGAGGAGGGAGGGAGGAGACGCCGATGCCGCGGTGTGTGAGAGGGAGAGGGGGAAATGGCACAGCCTGAACGATCAGAATCCCCAGGCCGATCCATGCAACGATTCCTGGACCCTCCGCAGGCCGGATCCAGAAGGCAATTGGGCCAGATCTGTCCCCCGGGCCTTAGTTTGCAGACCCATGGCCTAGACCATCTTTAACGGGTCTGGGATCCCTTCATTGGCCAGTCAGATGTCTTGTATTGCATTCAGACATCTGCTGAGAAGGATGGCCAATTTCCTACCTATTGCTTAGTCATGGGCAGCCCTTGGCAAGAAGGCAAGGTCAGCCACCTGTTAAAGGAGCCCTGGTGTCTAGCCATGGAGTCCCTGGGAACGTTTATGTTTGCCAGATATGAAAGCGGCTTGGAATCTCTCCTCTATGGGCCTCAGCACAGTCCGTGGCAGTCGAAGGAGCTGCATGCTAGCTATTTCTAGAGTCCATCTGCTTCTGGTGGGTTTCTGGGGACAGAAGAGGCATCAGGTGTCTTCTGCTTTGCCCTTGGCTCCTTATTTTCTTATCCTACCAGTAAACAAAAGCTGCTTATCAGTGAACAGCCCCAGCCTTTGTTCAGATGGTGAGATGGCAGAGATAGAGAGCATTTTCGCCACAACAGAGTAACAAGATGGTCATGAGGACCCCATGGCCAAGCCGAACATCTCACCTGTCAGTCTCCCAGTCTCCCAGTCAGGCGAAACCTGGGATCTCTCACCTGTTCTAGGCCATGGGTAGGCAAATTAAGGCTCATGGGCTGGATCAGGCCCAATTGCCTTCTGGATCTAGCCCGCGGATGGTCTGGGAATCACTGTGTGGATTGCCAGCTCGTGAGTTCTTTCCCTCTCCCTCCCTCGGCAGCGCATCCTCCTCCCTCCCTCCTCCTGGCTTCTCCCTGCCCTGTCTAGAGGAGGAAGGGAGCTGGGTTTTGTTGATGCCAGCAGCAGCAGTGCCCGAGCAGCTGCCATTTTAAGCAGCCCCTCTCCAGAGCCCTTTCCCGCTCCGCTCATCCCCTGCTGCTCGCAAGACACAGGTAAGCAGCCACTGGGGTTCGTGGTGCTCTTGCATCATTTCCCCCCCTCCAAAATACAGTCTGGCCCCACACAAGGTCTGAGGGACAGTGGACCTGCCCCCTGCTGAACATGTTTGCTGACCCCTGTTCTAGGCCCTGTTTTGTTGTACGGGTGTATCCACACACATTTTTCTAGAGTCCATCAACAACTCTGCCTATTCTCAAACACGTCTAGCAGTTTGCATGTGCCTATTTCATTCTTGCCACAGTGCAAAAGGACCTTTGGTAGAAGCTTTAAAAGACTGCGGCTTAATCCCATTTCCCCACGGGACCACATCTGCCGGAGACACAATCTTTTCAATCAGCTGTCTAGTTAGGATGCTCCAAGAAGGGAGAACACAACAGGCGTAAAGGATGCATTTTAACACCATTTTTCAAAGAACAACAGTTGCTAATTGCTTCGTTTACTGTTGGGAAAAGTCTGCTTAATATGCAGGTCTCAAAATGATGTCTTTAATGCAAGCTGCCAGCAGAGGAAAAAAAAGTCATTTAAATCTTGGGAGGGAACAAAAAGAGAGAGAGGTTAAGCTCTCATTTTAGGAACACTCTCCAAGTCACTTCCAAACACGGTAAGAGAGTTACTGGTACAGAGCCAGGTTCAATTTGCCCAAATCATTTTAAATAGCACGGATCTAATCAGGATATTTTTCTGTTCCTTAAAACACACACACACACACACACACACACAAACTTACTTGGTGTTGGCTTGCCTTGGCCAACTGCTCATTGGCAGATTGTACATTTGAGGAGGCAGTCTCGATGTTGGCTTCAATGCTATCTGTAAATTAAGATAATAGAAAGTAATTACATGGTATGGAGTAGCGAGCAAATCCCAAAATTCAATTTAATTTATACATAACCCAAGTCACACTCAAAGTGGTTGACAAAATATAGGACCAACAAGCAATTACAGATGCAAATGACAACAAATTAAAGCAAAAGGGAGGCATTACAGGAAAAGAGGAATTCTGCTTTAAAATCCCCCCTCTGCAAAATAAACAAAAAATAAACAATAAACACACATATATATTTTTTTTAAAAAAATGCAGGATAGTGTCACCAGCAGCATAAAATGTACCCATCAATCAGGAGGGAAATGACTCTTAAAGCTGCCACAAATTCTTTGGCCCAGGGAGTTAATTACAAATCAAAGCTGGATGCAAAGAGCGTCTCTTGCTCAAAGCAACACCTCCATCTCTCACCTAGGGGCTTTCTTTAAAAACAAAAAAATCTTCTGCTTGGCACTAAAAGAACCATCAGATTGGGCCAATTCACCTCTCCTCTGCAGAAGACAAGAGCCCACATCAGCTCAGAAAGTAACAGCCACAGCAGTGGCCCATGGGGCTGGGTGGGATAATTTGGAATGCTACATTAGCAAACAGAAGCCGCTCTGTTTTGCTTGGATATTTTCCAACGGCGACACCACCACCGCCAGCGAGTCAGGAGTGGGACCCCTTTCGCTGCATGTGAAACTCCTCAGAAAATAAATCTCGCCGTAAGGGACACGGTGACAAGGGTCACAGGAAGTAACTGATGCATGCTATCATGTAGCTTGAGGCTTTCACGTCTGATATGTCTCCCGGAGCCCGGCAAAAAACCGAGAAGCTTAATTCTGTGCAAAAAAGGACTGCCAAGGAAGAAGACAGACACATGGGTTGTTGATGTCTCCTTGATCTCTCGCCGCGTCCATCAAGGAGGGTGTCCATCAGCTCTGAGCAAGGATGGCGGGCGAGGGCTGCGGGTATCCCAACGGGTCTGCGACACGGACAGTATCCATCCAGGAAAATAAACTTCTGGGATTTCTATTCCTGGATGTTGTTCCCAGCTTTGGATATTTCCCCCCCTCTCCACTCCCAAAAGCACGCTCCTTCATGGTCTCCCGAGACAGACAGATGCCAAGCAACCAATTTTGACACTTTCAGCAGCTCACATTATGCATGAAGCATGATTGAGGGCTGCACTGTAGGGGGACGAAAGTATGTGATGCTTTGCCGCGAAATGGGAGCGAATGTCTAGGATTGTCAGAGAATTCTGACAAAAGCAGAAACGGAAGAGGAAATTGAGAGGGTCCACTTACAGAAATCATTCCAACAAGTGCAATTGGTATTTGCTGTTGCTTTCAATCCGTCAGTGATATGCAGTTGATTACGGTCCCCCTTCCCTCCTATTTGCATTGTGTAATGAGTAATATAATGATCCTAGGGCTATGGACAGCATTAATTACGTAAATTGCATAAGTTGCTTAGTTCTGCCCCAGTGGACAGCAGGATGAATAATGTGGTTTTTGGCAGAAGACAAGCTGAAGCAGAAAGAAAACAGGGCACCATGACAGGATAGCTCAGTTGGGGAGAGTGCTGATAATGCCAAGGTTGCAGGTTCGGTCCCCGTAAGAGGCACTTGCATACTCCTGCATTGCAGGGGGGCTGGACTAGCTGACCTTCAGAGTCCCTTCCAACTCTATAATTCTGTGGATGGTGTTAAGATTGCCCTCTTGGTAGTTCTGCCACCCTCAATAGTTCAGGTGGTGGTGCACTGGGAAAGCACATTCTCTGTGCAGCCCCTAAATTAGGGTGTGCCTGGCATCTGTACACAGAGCTAAGGGAGGAAGTTCCTCCTTCAGCTCGTTGAGGTTTGAAGGTTCAGATTAATTCTGCCAGAACCAACATTTTGCTTTCCCAAGCGATCAGGGTGTGTGTGCACTGCAAGATTGTATAGTGTCCTCTGTCCCTCTGTCTAAAAAATCCGAATGTGCTCACTGGGCTAAAAGGGTTAGTGGCCCCTGCACACCCTCCAACATTTCTCTGATGAAAATAGGGATGTCCTATTCCATAGTAATGATAATATTAATTATACCCTGCCCACCTGACTAGGTTGCCCTCAGCCACTCTGGGCAGCTTCCAATATATGTTGTTGTTGTTGTTTAGTTGTTTAGTCGTGTCCGACTCTTCGTGACCCCATGAACCAGAGCACGCCAGGCACTCCTGTCTTCCATTGCCTCCTGCAGTTTGGTCAAACTCATGTTCATAGCTTTGAGAACACTGCCCAACCATCTCGTCCTCTGTCGTCTCCTTCTCCTTGTGCCCTCCATCTTTCCCAACATCAGGGTCTTTTCCAGGGAGTCTTCTCTTCTCATGAGGTAGCCAAAGTACTGGAGTCTCAGCTTCACGATCTGTCATTCCAGTGAGCACTCAGGGCTGATTTCCTTCAGAATGGATAAGTCTGATCTTCTTGCAGTCCATGGGACTCTCAAGAGTCTCCTCCAGCACCAGAATTCAAAAGCATCAATTCTTTGGCGATCAGCCTTCTTTATGGTCCAACTCTCACTTCCATATATCACTACTGGGAAAACCACAACTTTAACTATACGGACCTTTGTCGGCAAGGTGATGTCTCTGCTTTTTAAGATGCTGTCTAGGTTTGTCATTGCTTTTCTCCCAAGAAGCAGGTGTCTTTTAATTTCGTTGCTGCTTTCACCATCTGCAGTGATCATGGAGCCCAAGAAAGTAAAACCTCTCACTGCCTCCATTTCTTCCTCTTCTATTTGCCAGGGGGTGATGGGAACAGTGGCCATGATCTTAGTTCCAACGTATATTGTTGTTGTTGTTTAGTCGTTTAGTCGTGTCCGACTCTTCATGAGCCAATGGACCAGAGCACGCCAGGCACTTCTGTCTTCCACTGTCTCCCGCAGTTTGGTCAGATTCATGTTTGTAGCTTCGAGAACACTGTCCAACCATCTCGTCGTCTGTCGTCTCCTTCTCCTTGTGCCCTCCATCTTTCCCAACATCAGGGTCTTTCCCAGGGAGTCATCTCTTCTCATGAGGTAGCCAAAGTATTGGAGCCTCAGCTTCACAATCTGTCCTTCCAGTGAGCACTCAGGTCTGATTTCCTTCAGAATCGATGCATTTGATCTTCTTGCAGTCCATGGGACTCTCAAGAGTCTCTTCCAGCACCATAATTCAAAAGCATCAATTCTTCAGCGATCAGCCTTCTTTATGGTCCAGCTCTCACTTCCATACATCACTACTGGGAAAACCACAACTTTAACTATACGGACCTTTGCTGGCAAGGTGATGTCTCTACTTCTCAAGATGCTGTCTAGGCCTGTCATTGCCCTTCTCCCAAGAAGCAGGCGTCTTTTAATTTCGTGGCTGCTATCACCATCTGCAGTGATCATGGAGCCCAAGAAAGTAAAATCTCTCACTGCCTCCATTTCTTCCCCTTCTATTTGCCAGGAGGTGATGGAACCCGTGAGTTTCCCATTCAGACACTGGTTGGCCATTGTGAGAACATGATGCTGGACTACGTGGTCCATTGGCCTGATTGCCAGTTGCTGGGGAATGTGACCTGTTTGTGTGCTCATGATCCATTTTTGGACCCCCCCCCCCAGAGCCATCTGGTTGGCCACAGTAGGAAACAGGATGATGTGCTGGGTGGGTCTTTAGTCTGATCCAGCAGCCACTCTTCTTCTGTTCTTAGCATGGGATATCCTGGATTTACAAAGCTGTTGCACTACCAACCTTACTGTATGCTTGTGAAACATGGACTATTTATAAACGCCATCTCCAACTCCTCGAAAGATTCCATCAACAGTGTCTCTGAAAAATTCTACACTTCACTTGGGAAGAAAAGTGAACTAATGCCAGTGTACTGGAAGAAGCAAAGATCACCAGTGTTGAATGATTCTTCAACATCAACTTCGTTAGACTGGTCAAGTTGTGCAGATGCCTGATTATCGTCTTCCAAAGCAACTACTCTATTGCGAACTTAAAAATGGAAAGTGTAATGCTGGTGGTCAACAAAAGAGGTTTAAAGACTCTCTCAAGGCAAGTCTAAAAAAAGTAGTATAAACACTGACAACTGGGAAACACTGGCCTACGAGCGCTCCAGTTGGAGAACAGCCTTTACCAAAGGTGTCATGGGCTTTGAAGATGCTTGAACTCAGGACACAAGGGAGAAATTTGCTAAGAGGAAGGCATGCTTGGCAAATCCACACTGTGATCAACTCCTGCCCGGAAACCTGTGCCCCCACTGTGGAAGGACGTGTGGATCCAGAATTGGCCTCCACAGTCACTTACGGACTCATTGTTAAAACCGTGTTTATGGAAGACAATTTTACTCAGCTACGAGTGATCGCCAAAGAAGAAGAATCCTGGATTTAAGGAACATCATGAAACAAGCAACAAACCAACAGCATTATGCTACAATGATACCTACCTATTGTGTCACCCTGCTCATATACCATAGAGGCCAGGTCCTTGATGATCTGGTTTACATCCAGCATATCACTCTGAAAAGAATAAAGAATATCAGCATTTTCTGCAGACTAATACATGAGATTTTTTCCTGGTCTTATCAAAAACCATTTTCATTTAGATATCAAAGAGTTGTTCCACCTGAGCAAGAAGCTCTGGAGGACTCATGAGCAGAACATGTTCCTCTGTTCTTACATGATCATTTGGAATGCCACATCTCACTTTCCATGCACTCAAAGTGACGTCCAAGCCATCTTCGGGTCATGGCTTTAAGTGGGATTCACTAGACCACCCTGGTCCCTGTTGAACTGGCTTTGCAGACACACACACCCCCAGATGTGCTCTCTTCCCAGCTCAGTTATCCAATGCTCCCTCGGGAACGGCTCCCTTGAATATTCAATTCCACGGTGCCAGCTCATTTGCAAGTTTGCTCCTTCTGGGATTAGAACCTGTGGCATCTGAGTAATCGCAGCCCCGCTGCTTGGAATGCTAAGCTGTCTCCCGTGATGAATTCATCAGAGGTGCCAAGTGGATCTATGCTCTTTTGGGGGAGAGAGTTCATTATGTGACTGTGAATACCACAGTACTTAATTATGTAATGCAGTAAGAATCTCATTAATTTGTAATAAAGCCGGAAAGAGTCATTGTGAATTACTGAAGGAGCGCGCGCGTGCACACACACACACACACACACACACACACGATTGAGCCACTGAACAAATCCAAGAAACAAAAACCAAGAAAAAGAGAAGAGGAAGGGGGGGGGACGGAACAAAGGCTAGGGATAATGTCTCGCAAATATTATCTGTTCTCTTTGTCATTAAACACAATAAACCTTTAATTATTTATGCTAATATTAGTGAGAGCTGGACCATAAAGAAGGCTGAACGCCGAAGAATTGATGCTTTTGAATTCTGGTGCTGGAGGAGACTCTTGAGAGTCCCATGGACTGCAAGAAGATCAAACCTATCCATTCTGAAGGAAATCAGCCCTGGGTGCTCACTGGAAGCACAGATCCTGAAGCTGAGGCTCCAAGACTTTGGCCACCTCATGAGAAGAGAAGACTCCCTGGAAAAGACCCTGATGTTGGGTAAGATTGAGGCACAAGGAGAAAGGGACGACAGAGGACGAGATGGTTGGACAGTGTTCTCGAAGCTACAACAGTGTTTCCCAACCTTGTGCCTCCAGCTGTTTTTGAACTACATCTCCCATCATCCCTGACTAACAAGACCAGTGGCAAGGGATGATGGGAATTGTAGTCCAAAAACAGCTGGAGGCCCAAGGTTGGGAAACACTGAGCTACAAACATGAGTCTGACCAAACTGCGGGAGGCAGTGGAAGACAGGAGTGCCTGGCTTGCTCTGGTCCATGGGGTCATGAAGAGTCGGACGTGACTAAACAACAACAATATTAACAGTTGCAAAAGGGTCTGCAGAATCCTGGGGGAAGAAGAGGGGGATAACTTTTAAATCAGGGGCTGAGAAGCTTTCCTTTCTTTTTCCCAACCCAAGGGCAATCCTCTGTTGGCCACATGCCTGAGGTCTTCTTTGTGAAGGAGCTTTGTTTAGAATCACAGAAACATAGAAGTGACGGGTTGGAAGGATCCCCAAGGGAAATGTATTCCAACCCCCCTACAGTGGAGTAATCTCAACCAAAGCATCCATGGCAGCGGACTATCCAACCTCTGTTGAAACACCTCCAATAAAGGAAGTCTACAACCTCCTGAGGGAGTCCGTTCCACTGCCAAGCAGCTCTTACCAACTGGAAGTTCTTCCTAATGTTGAGCTTGAATCTCCTTTGATGTAATTTGAAACCCCTTCCCCAGAGAGCTTAATGTCAACAGCACATCCAAAGCGCACCCATACAACTTGGCTATTTGGCTACAACAGGAACAGACAGATTAAGAGATCCAATGCATGCTCCTATCAAAAGAGCCAAAAAGAGCCCAAAAAATTGGTATTGGGTTACAACTGACCTATTTCCACTCTGAGCAATTGCATATCAGGGCCGGCCCTCCCATGAGGCAGAATGAAGCAGTGGCCTTGGGTGGCAGAATTCTGTGGGGCCCATGGGTGCCCCACCTCTGCTCGACAGTGGCTTCTGGAGAGATCTCAAGAGATTTCACTGGAAGCTGTTCCAGCTGTGTGACTCCAGGAACCAAAACCTTGACGCTTCGGAGCCAGACAGTCGAAAGCCCTGGTTAACTCCGCATTCCAGCGGGCCACCAGAGAATCAGCTGAAAGGCCATAAACCTGGGATAAAGCATCCCCTATCACTCTCTGGAAACTATTTGGATCCATTAAGTGGCGGGGGCGGACTATCCGAATCGGTCCCACCTCCCTGCAGAGGGGATGGGTCGCAGAGAAGTCCAGTTGCACCAGGAAGTGATCTGACCATGGCACTTCTTTTGTTTCACTTTTACTTAGTGTCAAATCACCCACATCACTGGAGGTGAACACCAGGTCTAAGGCATGTCCACTATGAGTTGGGCCAAACTTATTCAGGGACAGCCCCATGGAGGCCATGCTTTCCACGAAGTCCTGAGCGGCCCCTTGTAAGGTCGTGTTGGCATGGATGTTAAAATCCCCTAGGACAACCAAACTAGGTGTCTCCAGGAGAACATCCACCACGACCTGAAGCAGCTCGGACAGGGAATCCTTGGTGCAGCGGGGAGGTCGGTACACCAATAGGAATCCTGTACTGCCCCTATTGCCCAACTTCTAGAACATGCACTCAGAGAACTGGGTCTTCCCAATAGGACACAACCACCTCATGTCTGATGTGGTGCAGCCCAGAAGTGGTGCAGCCCATAATTTCCCCACCACACAATGCCAAGAGCCTGAATCATTTTTCCACGAGTGCGTAGAGCTGTGGGTTGGATGCTACATCTGATGGTGGTACATATTCTAGAAAAATACATAAACACACACCATCTTCCTCTCCAGCACACACACACACACACACACACGAAGAAGGCAGACCCTCACCAAACACAAACAGGCATATTTAAGGAAGGAGAAGACGCCAACAGAATGACTAATAAACTCTAGAAGTGGGAAATGATCTGCGCATAAAGCAAACAGCAGAGGAAGGTGTTTCTCCTGAGAGCAGACAGAAACGTCAGCTTGGCTCTCAAAACCACTTTCCCACTTTCCTTTTGCTGAGCACGGGAGGCTTCCCACTTCATTAGTCCAGATGGCAGAAGCCTCTGGGACTTTGTAATTCATATTTGAAAGCAGGAAACCAAACCAAACAACAACAAAAATAGTACGCTGTTTCTCACAATAGACGGAGCCGTCTACAGATCACTGTCTCCTACATGCCTCCCTAGGCAAATTAATTGTCCACAAATATAATGCCATCCTCTGGTTCCACTATCGGCGTCACGAGGGTGAACGGGGCACATTGAACTCTGAAGATCACAGAGATTAAAATCTCATCAGGTCGCTGAAACAGGGCAGGCTGGTTCAAATTGTACAGGGTGGACAAACAGTAGCTCCAAAGGCATCTGCAGCAGGTAATGGGTACAGCTAAATATAGCACCTTTCCCCCGCTCCGAAATAGAAAATGAAACACCAATGATGGAAATGTGGATTATAAAGCAGGGGTCAGAAATGTCAGAGCAACACGCATTGTCACAAAAAGAGAACACCCTTGAGTTTTAGTCCTCTTTTGTGCTTTTAGTGCACAGAAATTTCACAGGGGGTGCCCAAATGGCGGGTTTGTCATGCTCCCAGTTTAAGCATCTCTTTATGACACAGTGCTAATGTCACCGCATCACCCGAGGCTCAAGTCTTGAGATTCAGCAGGTGGGTACTAATTGCTCAGAGGTGTGGTGCCTGTTACATCTAGTGATGGATGAATCCCTCAATTTAAGCTGCCCTTTGTGTACGCTCAGGGACGCAGGTGGCACTGTGGGTTAAACCACAGAGCCTAGGACTTGCCGATCAGAAGGTCAGCGGTTCGAATCCCCGCGACAGGGTGAGCTCCCGTTGCTCAGTCCCAGCTCCTGCCAACCTAGCAGTTCGAAAGCACGTCAAAGTGCATGCAGATAAAAAGGTACCGCTTTGGCAGGAAGGCAAACGGCGTTTCCATGTGCTGCTCTGGTTCGCCAGAAGCGGCTTAGTCCTGCTGGCCACATGAACTGGAAGCTATATGCTGGCTCCCTCGGCCAATAAAGCGAGATGAGCGCCGCAATCCCAGAGTCGGACACGACTGGACCTAATGTTCAGGGGTCCCTTTACCGTTATCTTTACCTTGTGTACGCTCAAAGCAGGAACAAAAGTGTTGCATGTTGGTACACTACTGGAGAAACATTTTGGGGGGACAGCAAGCAAGGAACAGAATATTTACACAAGGGATTAATATTTCAGCTTGCGGGCTGCATTCCCTTTTACGCTTCCTTCTGAGGCCCACACCCATTGGTGGTTGGGGCTGGAGGAAAAGGTTGACAGTGTTGGGATGCGTCTGGGGAGACGGGGGCATTTGGCAGGCCCCCAGCTGACTCCAGCCACAGGCCGGCAGCAGCAGGGCGAACTCTGGTTCTCGGAACAGCATCTATCAGCGACTCGAGCCTCAGAAGCCTTCAGAGACTGAGCACGCTCTAATCAGCAGAGTGAGTAACTTTTCACAACGGAAGTGGCAGACAGGCATATGGAAGCATATTTACAGGCATTTATTCAGCATCAGGAACAAAGGAAAAACATGTCTGCTTCCCTTCGTGTCCAAGCAAACAGCAGCATAGCAAAAGCTATATACAACAGAAGTTCCCAGCAGACTGTGCTGGAAGTAAACAGACATGTGACATACAACAATCCACACATCTGTTCTAAAGTTGGAATGGACCTATATCCTAACAGGCAGATCAATGAATGCAAATTTCAACTATGTGTACAAGTGGCTAGTTTCCATAAACACACATCCCCAGCCCTCTCTATCCTCCTTCTAGGCAAGGAAGAGGCAATATTAGAGTTCAAGGATACATCCCAGCCAGCAATAAGCTCTCGAGGGTGCAAAGCAGGAATGGTGAGTTTTG